CCACGTCTCACAAGGCTGTGTCTGTCTGGCCCAGGGCTGCACATACAAACCGGTCCATGGATCAGGTTATTCAGCGTCCAATCAGAAGATGGGCCTGAACTAAAACCCGGCACAGAACACGCCGGAAAGCTGGGCTGTTCAAAATCCCGGCCTGGAGCCCAGGGCCATGGCTCGGGTCCATGGATGTTCTTGCAGCCCCAGCTCTGCCCCATGCTGCAGGTGACCCACTCACAGCTCACAAGGTGGGAGCGATTGGGAAGAGGTGGCTGGGGAGATTGGGGGGACAGGGCTAGAATTCAGGAGAGCTGGGGTCACTTCCCAGCTCTGCTGAAAACTTCCTGTGTGATCTTGGGCACGTCTCTCTGCACCTCAGTTCCCCAGCAGAAAAATCGTCCTTTATTTCTCCCAACTAGAGTCGATTTTGACTGTGAGCTGTTGAGAGCAGGGACTGTCCCCTCCTGTCCGTACAGCGCCTGGCACACAGGGGCCTGCAGGTGCTGCTCTACCACACGTGCTGATAATCAAGTGTTCTGCATCTCCACTGAAGTCGCTGTGACTTTCCTCTAGGTCTGCAGCTATTGGACGAAGCGCAGGCAGGAGTCCGGATGCTGAAAGCCCAGCTGGGTAATGTCAGTGCAGCGTGTGGAGAAATCCAGAACCGTCTGGACAATGTCAGTGCAGCGTATGGAGAAATCCAGAACCGTCTGGACAATGTCAGTGCAGCGTATGGAGAAATCCAGATCCATATGGACGGTGCAGCGCGAGCAGCAGTGCAAGATGGCTGCAGTAAGTACTAGCTGCAGCGCTGGCTGGTGCCGTTTCTCCTGGTGCTGAGGATAAACGGAGGATTTCAGGCTCCAAGGCTGACAGCGCAGCGCCTTTCACCAGCACCGAGTTCTCTTCTATTAAACATCACCGGTGGCTGCAGCTGGGCCCACACCGTGGTGATCAGTGTGGAGTTAAATTACACCCTGGGCCTCGTTAGCCTAATGGGAGCACCCAGCTACCAGCTCTTCTTAGATGCTCCAAACCCGTCAGCTCACAGGCAAAAAGTGATACTGGCATTTCAGCGTATGGGACGTTACTTTCAGACCCATCACTGAGCCAGTGCCCCCGACAGGGTGTTGGAGGGGGGGGACGCTGATGTGCAAATGACCCGAGACCTCAATTTCTCATTATCATTGGAAATATTTGATGCAGAACCAGGGGCTGTTCCACCTTGGGCAGCTACATTCCCCCTCCTGAATTCCCCCTGCCAGCTCAGCTGAACAGTGAGTCTCCCCTTTCCCATTACAGCCGTGCTGCTCTGCACTGGGACCAGCGCCCATGCTCCAGCCCAGATGCAGCAGCATTTCCATGTTTGGGGAGTGACCTTGTGGTGGCTGCTTTCTGCAGCGCTCTGTGGGATCTTTCCGAGGGCCACAAAAGTTACTTATTGTGATGCTGAAGAATCAGGATTCAGACGTTCCCTGAGCTTGGGGCAGCTGAAGGGCAGGGGAAATGCAGCACTAGAAACCCTGAGCTCCCTGTGTGTGTCCCTGTGACTTTAGCCCGGGCGTCTCACCTCAGTCTCTGCTCCTAGGTGACGTGCTAAAAAAGCTCTCCAGAGGCTGGAAATTTTACGGTGGGAACCTCTATTACTTTTCAAAAGGAACGAAGTCGTGGGACGCGGCCGAGAAGTTCTGTGTGTCTGGGAACTCACACTTGACCTCTGTCTCCTCCCAGGCAGAACAGGTGAGTGCAGGAACCTCCTAGGGGTTTGGACAATGGGTCAGTGCCTTGTTTCATACCAGAAGGAGGTGGAAGGTGGTAGCTGAGGTTGGAAACCATCGGCGAGGATGGAACCTGACTCAGGGGATTCACCCATCAGTTTAAAAGCAGAGATGGGCAGAGGAACAGTGCCAGGATCTGGACTTCCCAGAGTCTGGGGTGCTGGGGGAGGGGGATTTGGGGTCAGGCTCATTTCTGATTTTCCTTACTTCCAATGTAGCATTTCCTGCAAACCCAATGACCTTTCCCAGGGAGGACCCGCTTTGATCCCTCTCCCCAGGCCTGAGCTCCTGCTGGACAATCTAGAAACCTCTATCTGGAGGGCTTGTGTGCAAGGGGCCATGCGCCTCTCAGAGAATCCTCTCTCCCCACGTGCCCACTGTAGCCCTCACCCCAGGCCTCTGCAGCACTCTGTGAGGAGGAAAATCCCACCCTCTGGCAGGGCTAGACTTTGCACTCAGTTCTCTGCTCCGAGCTTTGTCTCCTCCAAGGGCAGGGCGCTGGTGTTAGCCCCAGGCAGATACAGATGCAGACACAGACACAGAGATGCTCCAGGACTCCCTCAGGGTCTCCCAGCTAGTCACTGTCAGCGTTGGGGGCAGGACATCATGTCTCCCGCTGCCCAGTGCCCTGCTCACACCACCAGACGCCCTTTCCTCTCCCCCAAATCTGTCCAGCCCAGGCAGCTGCGGCTGCATCCTGCAGCCTCTCTTGGGTGACCTGGACATGCTGCAAACTGTGTTGTGCAGGAGTTTCTCTCCAATGAGACCCAGGGAAAAGGTCACTGGATTGGACTCACCGACCGGGAGACAGAAGGCAGCTGGCGCTGGGTGGATGGCACAGAATACAGAGCAGACGCAAGCAGGGGGTGAGTAAAGCTTGAGAGAAGTGATTATTTATTACACGTTTGGTCACAAGCTCTTTTGGGCAGCGTCTGTTCGGCCCCTGGTGTCTATTCAGCACCTGACACAGCGGGCCCGATCCTGAGGGAGGCCCCCGGGCGCTGTCACAACAGCAATGAATCCTCTCAGGAATTTCTGCTAATGCCCCTTTGCTGAGCGCAGGAGCCTAAACACGGAGCGTGTGTTCAGTGCCACTGAGACCCAGGGCCAGAGCCTCCCCTGGGGTAACTCGGCATTGACTTGAATGAGCCACAGGGATTTACACCAGCTGAGGATCTGGCCCCAAGTCACCTCAGTACAGCCAGGTGAGTCTGGAGTGAGCGGCAGGTTCACGCTCTCCTTGGGATTGCACTGCGCTCTCCCCTCTGTCAGGCTGGGGAAGGGGAGGCTGTGGGGCCGGGGACATGGCCGGAGCCAGCTGCAGTCGGTGCAGTGACCTCAGTGGGCTGTGGACGAGGCCCATAAACAGGACCCTGGAGAAGTTAATGACTGACCCCCGCTGCCCTCTCTTCCCGTTCCTGCGTTCCCATCTCGGGGGTGCCTGGGACGTGCTGTGCCACGTGCTTTGGTTCTGGGCACTGAGATCGGAGTTGCTGCTGTCAGCATTTGGGGCCACAGACTGACTTGGGCTCTTTGCTGGCCTGTCAGGCGCAGGGCAGTTGCTACCCCCAGCCGTCAGAAGCCCTTCGTTACCATGGCCACAAGAGCTGTAGAGAACTCTGAGGGGTGGATCGCTTCACCGCGTCATTGCTGGGTGTCTTGGTCCCCTGCCAACCACAGAGTCCACAGAGCAGAACTGAGCTCAGGAATTGGCTGTGGTTCTCCACTGAGACAAAAAAATCTCTTTGATCTGTAGGTTCTGGGCGCAGAATGAGCCAAACAATTACGATCCGGGGACAGAGGGTGGAGAGGACTGTGTTCATACCGAGCCATCCAAACAGAATTTGTGGAATGATGCCAAGTGCACTCGTCCTTTCAAGTGGATTTGTAAGCAGGCCCATGGACCGGCTGGGCTGTGACATGCAGGTCCCAGCACCTCAGAAAGCGTCTTAATTTCCAAGCTAGAATATTTCCCAGCCACCTGCCAATGAGGAGCCCTGTGCACTGGAGGGGGCCGCATGGGATGTGGATTGCAGGGACGCTTTGTCTTGGTGTGATATTTCTGGCTGTAGCAGAGACAGCTGCCTTATGCTGCTCAGTGTGGCTGGCTCTGTAATTTGTATGTTTCCAGGTCTGTCACTGAATAAAGTCCTTGGATCATGGAGTTATTGTTTCACAATCACCCAATAAATAATGATTTGCTTGACTTCTGGTGGTCAGACCAGTTCATGATGACAACAGCACCTCCTTTATCAGCCTCTTTGATTATAATGTCAGGGTTGTTTTTGAGGCTGTGGATGGCATTGCGTTCTGCACAACTGAGGTTATGAGGCAAGCGATGTTGTTTTTCCACAATTTCTGCCTGTGCACGTCGGCGGGAGCATTCTATGTATAGATCCAGACTGTCATTTTGACCCTCAGGAGTCTACCAGAAGGAGGCTGCCAGACAACTCTCCAATACCAAGTTCTACAGGCCACTTTCTTCAGATCCCACTGAGGAATATACTAAGAAACTGCACCATCTATCCAGGACACTCCCTACACTAAAACAGGAACAAATCAACATACCCTTAGAGCCCCGACCAGGGTTATTCTATCTACTACCCAAAATCCACAAACCTGGAAATCCTGGACGCCCCATCATCTCTGGAATTGGCACTCTCACTGAAGGAATATCCGGATATGTGGACTCTCTACTCAGACTCTATGCCACCAGCACTCCCAGCTATCTCCGTGACACGACTGATTTCCTGAGAAAACTACAATGCATTGGTGATCTCCCAGAAAACACCATCCTAGCCACCATGGATGTGGAGGCTCTCTGCACAAACATTCCACACACAGATGGAATACAAGCTGTCAGGAACAATATCCCTGATGATGACACAGCACAACTTGTTGCTGAGCTCTGTGACTTTATCCTCACACACAATTATTTCAAATTTGGTGACAATATATACCTCCAGACCAGTGGCACCGCTATGGGTACCCATATGGCTCCACAATATGCCAACATTTTTATGGCTGACCCGGAACAACGCTTCCTCAGCTCTCGTCCACTCACGCCCCTTCTCTACCTACGCTACATTGACGACATCTTCATCATCTGGACCCATGGGAAGGAGACTCTGGAAGAATTCCACCACGATTTCAACAGCTTCCACCCCACCATCAACCTCAGCCTGGACCAATCTACATGGGAGGTCCACTTCCTAGACACCACACTACAAATAAGTGATGGTCACGTTAACACCACCCACACCGAAAACCCACCGACCGCTATGCCTACCTTCATGCCTCCAGCTTCCACACCGGACACACCACACGATCCATCATCTACAGCGAAGCGCTGAGGTACAACTGCATTTGCTCCAACCCCTCAGACAGAGACAAACACCTACAAGATCTTCACCAAGCATTCTCAAAACTACGATACCCGCAGGAGGAAATAAGGAAACAAATCAACAGAGCCAGACGTGTACCCAGAAGCCTCCTGCTACAAGACAGGACCAAGAAAGAAACCAACAGAACTCCACTGGACATCACCTACAGTCCTCAGCTTAAACCTCTCCAAT